GAGTACAGCAGTGATGATGATAGTAGAACGTCACTACATGATTGTGAAGACAATTTAGTAGCCCCAGTACAGGTTGAGATATTGGCTGTTCGGAGAGACTTAAATATACAATCCAAAAAGACAGACAACGATGAAAGAGAGAATATCTTTCATACCAGATGTTATGTGAATGAGAAGGTATGCAGTCTGATCATAAACGGAGACAGTTGTGCCAATGTCGTCAATACTTTGCTAGTTGATAAGTTAAGATTGTCTTATACTAAGCACCCTAACTCTTATAGAGTACATTGACTCAATGAGTGTGGAGAAGTCAGGATACACAAGCAAGTCAAGATTCCCTTCTTCATAGGCAAGTACAAAGATGAGGTATGCTGTGATGTCGTTCCCATGCACGCTAGTCATATCCTATTTGGACGACCATGATAGTATGATAAACAGGTACATCACAACGGGTTCAAGAATTAATACCATGATAGTATGATAAACACTCAGCGTAAAAGAGACCCAAAAGAACAACAAAAAAGGCCCAATGAGAGAAAGTGAGAGAGAGTGAAAAGAAAAGAATGTTTATATGTAAGGGAGAGAAAAGTGAAGAGAGCGATCTGTGAGAAACAAAGCTTAATTATACTTCGGTACAATGAAGCCTATCTAACCTTTTCTTACCTTGACACTTTCTTTGCCTAGTTTTATTTTCTCTCTTTTGCAGGAATATGAAGATGTATTCTTGGAGGAGATTTCGGATGGTCTACCACCACTACGGGGACTGAACATCAGATTGATTTTATCCCTGAAGCTTCCATTCCCAACCGTCCAGCCTATCGAAGTAATCCTAATGAGACAAAGGAACTTCAGTGGCAAATGAAGGAGTTGTTAGGTAAGGGATATGTAAGAGAAAGTTTGAGCCTTTGTGCTGTTCCAGTGTTACTTGTGCTTAAGAAAGATGGCTCTTGGAGGATGTATGTGGATTGCCGATCCGTCAACAAAATTACGGTGAAGTATAGACACCCTAACCCTAGATTAGATGATATGTTAGATGAATTAAGTGGATTTACTATTTTCACTAAGATAAATCTTGAGAGTGAATACCACCAGATTATGATAAAACCTGGAGATGAGTGAAAATTACCTTTAAAACCAAGTATGGGTTGTATGAGTAGTTAGTAATGCCATTTGGGTTATCAAATACCCCTAGCACTTTCATGAGACTTATGAACCATATTTTACGACCATTTCAAGGTAAATCTATGATAGTTTACTTTGATGACATTCTGATTTACAGCAAGTCTTTAGAGGATCACCTTCACCATATCCAATATGTCCTTGAGATCCTTAAAAAGGAACAGTTATATGCAAATGCCAAGAAATGTACCTCCTACAATAAAAAATTAATTTTTTTAGGATTTGTAATTAGTGCATAGAGCATTGAGGTAGATGAAGATAAGGTGATAGCAACAAGAAAATGGCCTACTCTGACATCAGCCAGTGAGGTAAAGAGTTTTCATGTTTAGGGAGCTTCTACCGCAGGTTTGTTAGGGATTTCAGTTTCATAGCAACACCATTAAATGAACTCATAAAGAAAAATATAAAATTTATATGAACTGAAAAATAAGAGCATGCTTTTACTTTATCAAAAAATAAATTATGTTCTGCACCTATGTTAACTTTACCTGACTTTAATAAAATTTTTGACCTTGAATGTGATGCTTCAGATATTGGTATAGGAGCAGTTCTGATGCAGGAAGAGCGTCCCGTGACTTATTTTAATGAGAAACTTAGTAGCGCATTGTTGAACTACTCAATCTACGACAAGGAGTTGTATACCTTGGTGAGAATATTAGAGGTATGACAACACTATTTATTGCCAAAGAAATTCGTGATCCACACAGATCATGAATCCCTAAAATATCTGAAAGGTCAAGGTAAACTCAACTGTCGTCACGGTAAGTGGGTCGAGTTTGTAGAATCTTTCTCCTATGTAATCAAGTATAAACAAGGTAACGATAATATTGTTACTGATACACCATCTCGTAGGTATGCTTTGATTTCTACACTTAAACATATTAAGAAGATGTATGCTAATGATAATGATTTTTTCACTGTTTATCATGCATGTAAGCAATTCTGCATTTCATAAATTTTATAGGCATGATGGTGTTCTTCTTAGAGATGGTAGGTTATGTGTGCCTAATTGTTCACTCAGGAATTACTGGTGTGTGAGCTCATAGTGGGGGATTGATGTG